TACAACCAAAAGAGCTTAAGTATTTTATATGCATTTACACTTAACATTCCGAGGATGGTATTATAGTGTTTCCACTTCTCCTCTGCTTGTATATCTTTCACAAACACTTTCAGGTCAACGATGGAAGTACGAATGGAAAGTCTTTCATGTGGAGTGACGAGCTTTTTCTCCGGTCAGCGGCTCCGGGTTTTTTATTTACTCATCTCGCTTTCGTAAGGGTGATGTCTTGCATCTCAAGGTGTTTATAGTTACCACTTAGTTGGCCCATCTCCTGATAAAGGAGAAAATTAAAGACAATTCGGCCATGATTACTAACACAGTCTGGCCGACTTCACAAAGATTTGCCTGATTGACTCGGTTCCAGGATGAATTCGAATACCGTGTCGAGTTCATGAAGATTCGCCTATTGACGCAGTTCCATTGGAAAAAAGAAACTATGTATTTATCTGGGAAGTCACATGACATAATTTGTACTAGTGGAATGGCCAAAACAAATCTGAAAAATGCCATGTAAGTGGATCAAATTTCCTTAAAATTTGCCATGGTGCAAACACATATTTACCTACATTTTCTTTGATGCAACAAAAAAAAATACTATGGTACAAAATGGTATGTATGACCAAAATTGTCATTATCCATGGCCAAAAAAAGCTACATAAAAAATTGAACACAAATAACATAGAGAAATTGCCGTGATTTAAAAAAACGTAAAGCAAAACTAATAGAAAAAATTACCATGACCTATGGCAAAAACTATATAAAAGCATATACAAACTCATGGCGAGTATATTGTATGTCAAAATTAGGGATTTGCCAATCTACTTAAGATAAATTTGTCATGTTAAGTCCACTATATTTGCCATCATGATTAATATATTATAAGTTCGCAATAGTTGTCATGGTATCTAAAATAAAATGCCATAGTAAAAATAATTTTTTACAGGTCCAATTTGAAAACAGAATTTGTCATGATACATGGGAAAACACAAGCACGCATGAGGGAATTTGTACTAATGGAATGGTAAATAATTCTCCAAAAAACGCCATGTAGGTTGACTTAAAACATTTCTGTCTTGGAAAGACATATATATCTACATTTTTGTTAGATGCAACAAAAAATTTCTATGATACAAAATCTATATACCAATATAAGAAGACACAGTGAGGCAGATCCAACAGATCTCGACCATCCATTAGCGTTAATCTGACAGTCTTTATTGGCCTAATGGTGAGCAACTAAACACGTTCAGTGCTAAACGCGTTTACTGCTAATCAATCCTTTCTCTCCCCGATCCCCTTCCTTACGTACCCTTTCACACGAAAGGAAACTGCCACAGCAAACCGCCCCACGACGCCGCCCCATCACCCCGCTTCAGCAGCGCACGCCACCCCAATCGCCTCGACCTGCAACAGCTTCAAGGACGCCGCCCATCACATCTCCGTGCCGCCCCTACCCATCGCCTTGGTGTGGCCTCGGCCGTAGCAACGCCGCCGCAACTTCAAGAACGCCGGCTGTCGGGAAAGCCGCCTAGACCGCCTGGCCGACGGGCAGGGGGCGCGTCGGAGGCGCCACCTGGACCGCCTGGCCGTCACTTCATCGTCGGATTGTCAGGGACGCCGCCTGGCTATCCGTTGGTGTCGGGCCGTCAGACCATCAAGGACACTGCCTGGACCGCCTACCAGTCCCTCTCCGTCGGGCCGTTAGGGAGATGCCGCCTGGCCTAGGCCGTTAGTGCCACCATCAGGGGACTCTTCGCCGTCAAACACGCAGCCGCTAGGCCAGAGGTCTTTCATCTCCGCTTTCTTCATTTCTTCTCGAGAAGATTGATTCACATTTCACTGAACAGAAAAGCAGCCTGTATGCACTAAAAACTGAACCCAAATCATATGCTTCGTAAAACTGAACTAAAATCAGCCTCGTGTGCGCATATACCATTAACTACGTTGGATTAGTACAATTTTCAACCCATTTGAAGAAAGAGATGGACCTGCTGCTGGTCGTGTATATCTTCAAGCCAGATTAAGATTGGGAGTCATCCCAAAAGACCAGGTGTCTGTGGCTGACATGGATATATATCCACCGCTTCAGGGTTTCTGCGCTTAATCCGACAACCATCAAAGCGTTTGCTGAGAGTGCCAGAAAATCTGACGTTCGCGAGATACTATTTCCCTTGTTTTAATAATATAAATAGATTATCCACCATTGCCATAAAGAATAATGACATTTCTAGCCTATACTTTTTTTTTATCGAACGCCTATGTTGTTCTCTAATCCTCAAACCTATCGCAAGATAATATTTCCCTTGTTTTAGTAATATAAATAGATTATCCACCATTGCCATAAAGAATAATGACATTACTAGCCTATACTTTTTTTTGTCGAACGCCTATGTTGTTCTCTAATCCTCAAACCTATTTTCTTATAGCTCTTTTCGCTCATGGTAGAGCATCTCGGCGGCACTGCACACTCGAGGGCCAGGCAGCGGTTGTAGGCCATGGGATGTATCAGCGGCTGATGCCAGTGTTGAAGAAGCCACACTTGCCGCCGTATCGGGACGTTGATTTGGTATTTTAGTTTTTGATAATATTTTCTGTGAATTTTATCAAAAAAATTTAAAAAATTCTAATATCTGTATCATGGAATGGAGGGAGGACCGAGGATGGCTTAACTACCTAGCCGTATAGCATTGATCACTGTTGGAAATTTGCCACAAGATTGATCACATAATAACAACGCGAACACACGCGCACACAAAATTGATAGTCAAAGGTACGTCTCGTGCCCTCTAAATTCCTCTTTATTTATTTTTCTCCTTTCTCACCGTCTTGCAAAACTCACGCACCTGCCTCTACTTATATATCCCGGCGGCCAACCCAAACATCCTATACCTACTCGTACATCAACTCCTAACATCACACGGACATTGACGATCAAGTCCTAAACCGGACTCTCCTAATCTAATACCGGCAAGCTTGATCACAAGCCTAACATCACTCCAACTCCAACTTCTATACGTAAAATACCTAGTACTTCTACTTGGATACACGGCTAGTTACTACTGCTAGCCGGACTCTTTGCTTAACACGACCCCTTTGTAAACTAAACTTTAAACTTGTTTGGATTAACCTAACATTCACCTCCTAATCCAAACATTCGACTTTTTACTCGACGAGACATGCAGATGATCGCCTCTTCATCTTGTCCCGCCGATTGCCTCCGGTGACGCGACTTACCGGACCGCAACTTCTCTGTTCTTGCAACGATGGCCACCACCTCATCGCCATATTTTGCTACTTATGCCGACTTGCAGACTGGAACCAACGATTATTCAGACTACCAGCCACGCTGCCACATCTTAGCGTGCTATATACAGACTAAACGCATAGCCTCATGCAAAAACTCAACTTAACCGGTCCGCGTCCTATCTTCACGTTGATCTTCATCTTCGCATCGGTTTCTTGCACACGGGGAGACACATCTATTCACCCGTCACATCTTTTTTCTTTGTCATTGGTGATGCGACTTACCAAACGACACCTCCTATCCAGCAGTAACACAACTCGTCATATACGTGCAACTATCTCCACCGTATATGAACTCGCTGGAACTCCACGACCACGAACGAAAACGCAAGGCACAAATTCCTTTTTCCATCCGCTCTTGCTCGCAATTCTCCTCTGCCAGTGACGCATCTCAACTGCAGCAGAAGATTCACATACCCGAGCTCTTGGACGCACCTTACAAGAACTCATGTGCACACCTTGACGACAGCTCGCAACTTTGTCGCCTCTTCCTCGCTCCCCCCGAACGATGATCTTGACGAGATCTTCTAGCACCGCACCTCGGCACTACCGCTCCCGTCAACCTCCTCCATGTCGTTTCGTCGAACGACAATCACCCGCGTCTCGCCTACGACATCATCCTCGCCGCTTTCTTGTCTCCGCTCCGCCGAACGACAACTGTCTGATCCTCCACGTCGTTGCTCACCCAACGACTAAATCGCCTGCTCTTCTTCGTCGCTACACCAGCGACTCAATTGCCCACTCCTCCTCGTCGTTGTACCACCCAACGACTATATGGCCCGCCCCAAGGTGCTAGCAGGTCGCCACCCCGGGGCAAGCGCATCTTCACTCGAACCTTGCTCTAGATACCAATTGTTGGAAATTTGTCACAGGATCGATCACATAATAACAACGCAAACACACGCGCACACAAAATTGATAGCCAAGGGTACGTCTCGTACCCTCTAAATTCCTCTTTATTTCTTTTCTCCTTTCTCACCGTCTTACAAAACTCACGCACCTGCCTCTACTTATATATCCCGGCGGCCAACCCAAACATCCTATACCTACTCGTACATCAACTCCTAACATCACACGGACATTGACTCAAGTCCTAAACCGGACTCTCCTAATCTAATCACCGGCAAGCTTGATCACAAGCCTAACATCACTCCAACTCCAACGTCTATACGTAAAATATCTAGTACTTCTACTTGGATACACGGCTAGTTACTACTGCTAGCCGGACTCTTTGCTTAACATGACCCCTTTGCAAACTAAACTTTAAACTTGTTTGGATTAACCTAACAATCACTTCGGAGATGGAGCACCATGCGCGCATATGCCTTTGGGTCCGACAACAAGCCCACCAGTTCAAGCCTATGTAGTTGCTGATCTAGAAAGGATTTAAGGATATCCAACCCTCGATTATCCTTGCTCGTCTCCTTCCCTCCCGCCTGAGCCGAGGCGGAAGGGGAGCTGCGGGATCTCAGAGAGCCAGCGGAGCAACCATTGCATCTCCCCCACCTCATGTGAGTTTCATTTTTGTGCCATGCATTTGCTAGAGTGATTTGCCCGGCTATGTCTTGCTTCACATCCATGTCGACCGATACATGCATGCACATTTCATGGTTTGCTATGCAGAATTTGCTAGAGAGACCCGCAGCTTCTTCCCCGACCAGTAGCCGCTAACTAATCCACAAGACAAGGAGATGAACATGATGGCATGGTTCGCATCACCGGTCGTTCTTGGCGCCGTCTATGTAGCTGCATTGGCGTTCCGCCTCGTTCCTCACTTGGCTGTGTGCCTCCGGCGTCCCAAGGACCTCCGGCGCAGCTACGGCACGTGGGCCGTCACCACGGGGCCAACATCCGGCATTGGCTGGTCCCTGGCCGTGGAGCTCGCGCGCAGTGGGCTGAACCTTGTCCTCATCGGCCGACACCCGGCCAAGCTCCGGGACATCTCCCAGACGATATGCAGGGCCGCTCCCACCGTGAAGATCAAGACTCTAGTCTTGGACTTGTCGCTCCTCGCCACCGCCCATGGTGAAACTCCAAGCAAACTACATATTCCCTCCGTTTCATTTTAGTATAAAATTAGGTCAAAGTCAAAATTTGTAAAATCGACTAACTTTATATTAAAATTTATCAACATTCGCAATATGAAATCAAGATTATCAAATGCATCGTGAAATTTTATATGTGGAGTAAAAAGAAACGGAGGGAGTGCTTACATTATTCCATGCATTTTAAGGAAGCTAATCGCGAGCTCATTTGGCAGGCGACGAGGCGATGTGACGGCTGCGGCAGACCGTGGAGGCGCTGGACGTCGGCGTGTTGGAGCCCGGTGCGGTCTTCCTGCACGAGGCCGGCATCGAGGAGTTGGTGGATATGATACGGGTGAACCTGTTGGGGCTGACAGAGGTGACAGCGGCGGTGATTCCGGGCATGGTGGAGCGCCGGAGGGGAGCTGTGGTCAACATGGGCTCAGCTTCGTCAGAGGCCATCCCCTCCTTACCCCTCTACACCATGTACGCCGCTACTAAACGGTTAGCACATTTCAAAGCAATGAATAACGTTCACAAGGTCATGTTCCATTGATTCTTTCCATGCAGCTATGTTGCTCAGTTCTCTAGGAGTCTTCACGTAGAATAAATTCATCGCCCATAATCTACTCCTTAGTAACTTCCCCAAGAAGTTGAGCGATCGAGCAGCCAACACTATATTAACGTCTAATCCTATCTTTAGGCACAGGCGCTTCGCGCCATATACTCCAACGCCCGAAACCTATGTGCGCACGGCAGTGCAGTGGATCGGCCATGCCCCACTCTGTGTGCCCAACTTGGGACACCGGATCATGTGGTTCTTTTCCGGCATTGCGCCCGACTTTTTGCTCGATGAGATGCTCCTGCATGATCACCTATGGCAGAGGAAGGAGATACAGAGGATGAGGTTATTGCCCACAAGGAACTGAATGCTAGATGTGGTTTTCTTATGTATTATCTATGGCAGAGGAAGAACTTGGTCATCTAATGTATTACATTTCATGAATCTAAAACAATAGTTAAGATAGATGGCAATGGTCCAATTTTTTACACTCTTAAGCTGCTATATCCATCCGTACAAATAAAGACGTATCCACGTTCAAGCCCTCGGATCGAGGTAATGCATTACTACCTGGTTGTCTGTTTTTTGATAATCCAGCATTGTATGAAAACTAGTGTTTTTGTATAAAGGGTTTGATCAAAAGATCACGTGAGGTGTTTGCCTCGGATGATTCTATCTACAGTGTAGTATGTCGACTATGGCTAGGTTTACAAGTCCGGATTCCGTTGGTAGACGACTAAAATATAGAAGACCAAGCTAGTAGCTAGATACTCCCGCACTTCCGGTTTAAAGGGCTCATTTAAAAATTTCAGATATCCATTATATTAGGCTCGCGTTGAGTTCAATTAAGTGAAATTGCTTTGAGTCTCACGTCAAATTTAATTCATAGAGATGAGAGGGGGGGGGGGATTAGTGGTCATGCATGCATCTTATTCTATATGCACCATGCAAGTCCAATTAGAGAGAGAATGCTGCACTTATTGCTTTGAGAGTCGAACATGTGAGAAATATTTCATTGTGTAGTTTTTTGTGAAGAAAATATACCCTAGAGGCAATAATAAAGTGTTTATTTATTTCCTTATATCATGATGAATGTTTATTACTCATGCTAGAATTTTATTAATCGGAAATTTAGTACATGTGTGAATACATAGACAAACATAGTGTCACTAGTATGCCTCTACTTGACTAGCTCGTTAAATCAAAGATGGTTAAAGTTTCCTAACCATAGACATGAGTTGTCATTTGATTAACGGGATCACATCATTAGGAGAATGATATGATTGACTTGACCCATTCCGTTAGCTTAGCACTTTCGTTTAGTATGTTGCTATTGCTTTCTTCATGACTTATACATGTTCCTTTGACTATGAGATTATGCAACTCCCGTTTACCGGAGGAACACAGGTGTCTCCGAAGGTACTTGTTGAGTTGGCGTATTTCGAGATTAGTATTTGTCACTCCGATTATCAGAGAGGTATCTCTGGTCTCTCTCCGTAATGCACATCACTATAAGACTTGCAAGCAATGTGACTAATGAGTTAGTTGCAGGCTGATGCATTACATAACGAGTAAAGAGACTTGCCGGTAACGAGATTGAACTAGGTATTGAGATACCGACGCGAATCTTGGGCAAGTAACATACCGATGACAAAAGGAACAACGTATGTTGTTATGCGGTTTGACCGATAAAGATCTTCGGAATATGTGGGAACCAATATGAGCATCCAGGTTCCGCTACTGGTTATTGACTGGAGACGTGTCTCAGTTATGTCTACATAGTTCTCGAACCCGTAGGGTCCGCACGCTTAAAGTTCGGTGACGATTTATATTATGAGTTATGTGTTTTGATGTACTGAAGGTAGTTCGGAGTCCCGGATGAGTTCGGGGACATGACGAGGAGTCTCGAAATGGTCGAGACGTAAAGATCGATATATTGGACGACTATATTCGGACATCGGAAAGGTTCCGAGTGATTCGGGTATTTATCGGAGTACCGGAGAGTCACGGGAATTCGGCGGGGAGTGTATGGGCCTTATTGGGCCTTAGTGGAATACAGGAGGAGGAAGCCTAGGACCCCCCCCCAAGCCCAATCCGAATTGGGTGAGGGGGCTGGCCCCCCTTTCCTTCTTCTCTCCCTCCTCTTTCCTACCTCTCCTACCACAACTTGGAAGGGGGGGGTCCTACTCTCGGTGGGAGTAGGACTCACTTATGGCGCGCCAAGAGAGGGCCGGCCCTCCCCCTCCTCTACTCCTTTATATACGGGGGAGGGGGGCACCCCATGGAGACACAAGTTAATCTGTTGATCTATTCCAGCCGTGTGCAGTGCCCCCCTCCACCATATTCCACCTCGATCATATCGTAGCGGTGCTTAGGTGAAGCCCTGCGTCGGTAGCAACAACATCACCGTCACTCCCCGTCGTGCTGACGAAACTCTCCCGTGAAGCTCTGTTGGATCGGTGTTCGCGGAACGTCATCGAGCTGAACGTGTGCTGAACTCGGAGGTGCCATACGTTCGGTACTTCGATTGGTTGGATCGTGAAGACATACGACTACATCAACCGCGTTGTGCTAACGCTTCCGCTTTCGGTCTACGAGGGTACGTAGACTCACTCTCTTCGCTCGTTGCTATGCATCACCATGATCTTGCGTGTGCGTAGCAAATTTTTTAAAATTACTATGCTCCCCAACAGTGGCATCAGAGCCAAGTTTATGCGTAGATGTTATATGCACGAGTAGAACACATGTGAGTTGTGGGCGATACAAGTCATACTGCTTACCAGCATGTCATACATTGGTTCGGCGGTATTGTTGGATGAAGCGGCCCGGACCGAGATTACGCGTACGCCTACGCTAGACTGGTTCTACCGACGTGCTTTGCACACAGGTGGCTGGCGAGTGTCTGTTTTTACAACTTTGGTTGAACCAAGTATGGCTACGCCCAGTCCTTGTGAAGGTTAAAACATCACTAACTTGACGAAATATCATTGTGGTTTTGATGCGTAGGTAAGAACGGTTCTTGCTCAGCCCGTAACAGCCACGTAAAACTTGCAACAACATAGTAGAGGACGTCTAACTTGTTTTTGCAGGGCATGCTGTGATGTGATATGGTCAAGACATGATGCGATATTTTATTATATGAGATGATCATATTTTGTAACCGAGTTATCAGCAACTAGCAGGAGCCATATGGTTGTCGTTTTATTGTATGCAATGCAATCGCCCTGTAATTGCTTTACTTTATCACTAAGCGGCAGCGATAGTCGTAGAAGCAATAGTTGGCGAGACGACAATGATGCTACGATGGAGATCAAGGTGTCGTGCCGGTGACGATGGTGATCATGACGGTGCTTCGGAGATGGAGATCACAAGCACAAGATGATGATGGCGATATCATATCACTTATATTGATTGCATGTGATGTTTATCCTTTATGCATCTTATTTGGCTTTGATTGACGGTAGCATTATAATATGATCTCTCACTAAATTTCAAGGTAAAAGTGTTCTCCCTGAGTATGCACCGTTGCCAAAGTTTGTCTTGCCGAGACACCACGTAATGATCGGGTGTGATAAGCTCAACGTTCATCTACAACGGGTGCAAGCCAGTTTTGCACACGCAGAATACTCAGGTTAAACATGACGAGCCTAGCATATGCAGATATGGCCTCGGAACACTGAGACCGAAAGGTCGAGCGTGAATCATATAGTAGATATGATCAACATAGTGATGTTCACCATTGAAAACTACTCCATCTCACGTGATGATCGGACATGGTTTAGTTGATTTGGATCATGTGATCACTTAGATGATTAGATGGATGTCTATCTAAGTGGGAGTTCTTAAGTAATATGATTAATTGAACTTTAATTTATCATGAACTTAGTCCTGATAGTATTTCGCAAATAATGTTGTAGATCAATAGCTCGCGTTGTTGCTTCCCTATGTTTTTATATGTTCCTAGAGAAAACTAAGTTGAAAGATGATAGTAGCGATGATGCGGACTGAGTCCGTGATCTGAGGTTTATCCTCATTGCTGCACAGAAGAATTATGTCCTTGATGCACCGCTAGGTGACAAATCTATTGCAGGAGCAGATACATACGTTATGAACGTTTGGCTAGCTTAATATGATGACTACTTGATAGTTCAGTGCACCACGCTTAACGGCTTAGAATCGGGACTTCAAAGACGTTTTGAACGTCATGGACCATATAAGATGTTCCGGGAGTTGAAGTTAATATTTCAAGCAAATACCCGAGTTGAGAGATATTAAGTCTCCAACAAGTTCTATAGCTAAAAGATGGAGGAGAATAGCTAAAGCAGTGAGCATGTGCTCAGATTGTCTGTGTACTACAATCGCTTGAATCAAGTGGGAGCTAATCTTCCAGATAAGATAGTGATTGATAGAATTCTCTAGTCACCATCACCAAACTTACTGGAACTTCGTGATGAACTATAGTATGCAAGGAATGACGAAAACGATTCGCGAGCTCTTTGTGGTGCTGAAATCGACGAAGGTAGAAATCAAGAAGGAGCATCAAGTATTGATGATTGACAAGACCACTAGTTTCAAAAAAAGGGCAAAGGAAAAGAAAGGGAACTTCAAGTAGAATGGCAAGCAAGTTGTCACTCCCATGAAGAAGCCCAAAGCTGGACCAAAGCCTAAAACAGAGTGCTTCTACTTCAAAG